ACCAAGGCTCCCTCATGTCTGTATTCTGGACCATGTCGAAACGCATTAAGGCCAGCGACTCGTCTCAGATTCTCCTGATACTAATAAAGGTAGATATACTCGTTTAAGAAAAACAGGTTTGTCGGCCACAAAGCATTTGCAAAGGACCTAGGCATTGGTTTTAAGTTAAAGTCACCCAATATTTACTGAACTTAAAAAAGTATACTTTACTACTAACTGTACTATACTTTTTCTTCTACTGTTTAAGTAGCATAATACGAAATCAAAGAGTGGTCTATCAGTTTTGAATTCTGATTAAGTCTAAAACGGTTTTGCATTTAAAGGTGGCAAACCATCTGTGTAGAAGGTCAGACTTGGTGGCGTATCCCTCCTCCGTTAGAACAGCCAGCGTTAACTGGCACCGAGATCGTAACTTGGCTTTGTTGAGGGCATAACAGATGGTACATGCTTACCTGAATATTCTCGGCCAACCGTTTCGCTGCTTCCGATGAGCCTTGGTATCGCATTGAAGCTGTTTTACGCAAGGCAAGCAGAACAGATGCTACAGACTGAGTTGAAGTCTTTAACGCAACAGGGGATAGAGATAGGTAATGGTAGCAATTGGGTAGATTCAGTGTAAAAAGATGAGGACTCAATGCGACAAAATCGGCAAAAAACTCCTGAAATACGAATCAGTCATCATTGAAGTTTAAACTTACATTGCATATATTTATTAATTTTATGAACGTATACCATGAAATGCATACTAATTACAGTTACAAAACTACAGTAAGCAGAGAGATGGCGAGTTAAAAGGCTCAAAAATAATGAACATCATGCCTTCTACCGTCTTAAAATTAAACCCATGGAAATTATCTAATTAGCAGAGAAACGGAATCACAAGGTAAGCTTCATAAACCTTGTCCGTACAATCGCAACGAAGAGGACAACGAACTGTAAGCATGAATGGATAGTAATGTGAAATAGTTAACTGAAGTTTGCCATGTGAGAAAATAGTTTGCGGTTAAACTTTATAACGAATTTGGGTTATTAAATAAAATTCAAAAATTCAACAAGACAAATATCTGTGCACCCATAGCTTACGCACTGCCCGAGTTACATTACACCAAAGGTCACTATTCAGAGGGAAGTTCATCGCTAAGCCAACTTATTCTATTGATTAAATCCCTGTCGCCACTTTGGAAGAAAAAGGAGGCTACATGCTGTTCATGTAGCACAGATCCTTTAAAACCGGAGTTGAAATGCTGAAAGTATTTCGCATCATTTTTTGCTGGCTAGAAAAATACAGTATACAAATGACGTTTCAGAAACCAACACTCCTATATATACTTCAAAGTAACATCAGAAATATGATCTCATGCTCTAGGGTATGATTAGGAAAGCATAATTTCTCCTGTAACGGATTTCCGGGGTAAGATGTCCACTGCTTCAAGCTGTCTTGAGGTAGTCATGATTCTAGTATTACTGCATTGGCAGAACTAGAAGTACAGAATGGAACGTTTTGGCACATCCGTTAGGGCGCAGAGCGCTTGTTATTGTCAGCGATCTGTCTTGAGCACACCGCT